GTGCTCGCGGCCTCCTGATGTGGCAACAAGCCACGTGCCTCTGATGGCTGCCTTCCATAGCAAGGATGCAGCCCCTGGGGCGGAAGCCAGGCCCCAGTACGACCCTGAGTCTCTACCTCCCCTGCCGACCATTTGGAATGGGTACTGAAAAGTCAAAGAGGTCTGCAGTTGCCTCATCTCCGTCTACATGACCCCTGAGTGAATTCAACCCCCTTTCCCAGCATGGATGATGGAAGCTGCCTGGGGGTTGGGGCACGCGGGCTGGCAGATCCTTCGATATGCTAGCGCCACTTGATTGCTTCAGAGTCCGGGCATCTGACTCCACATCCTGATGCAAAGGGCACGTTAAAATAAAATTGTATGAAAGAAGCGAGGTGGAGGGAGAGTTACCGTGGCCCCTTTGGTCCCACGCAGCCGCTGTGTAGCTGTGTGTCTCCTTAGCAAGTCCCTTGAACTTCTCTAAGCCTCAGTTTTCCTCTCCGTTTGTACCACAAGGGGCATGAACTAAGTGCGTCCCTTTGCGTCTTAAATAGCTGAGTTAAACCCTGCTTCCCACAGAGGAGGGATGAGAGCCCAGATCGCATTGTCCTTTTGGTTAGGCTAATTTTTGGACAAGCAGAGCAGGGGAAGGGCGAATTCTAACGGCCCCGCGGAGAACAGTCGTCTCCCACGAGCGGCCCCCACCCCACCAGGGCCTGTGACAGGTCGTATATTTGATTACGCAAAGCAAATTGGGAAATCATATCTCCGCAATCCCATCTGGGATTATTTATTTCGCCGCGTCCGCAGCCGGTCAAAGTTGTGAGACGATACAACGATGAGTAGCTTTCCGCGAGAGGGAGTGGCTTCGAGGTCATCTCTGGACAAACCAGAGCCAGAAGGGGCCACAGCAAATCACTTCTACTGCGATGCCCAGACGTTTCCAAAAATCATTCCCCACCCCCGGCGCTCGCGGCAGGTTGACTTGGCCACGCCACTCAGGCCGCTGGTGGAGGGAGGGTTCCAACCGGCCCCACACTCATCTCGAGGCCGCCTCGGAAGCTGGGAAGTCGGGCAGGGTCGGGAAGAACTCGGGCCTCGAATTTTCCCGGTCTCAGGCTCTCTGCAGACCAGTTCGCTGAGTTAAAATGATAAGCAATGCGAATATGGAATGTCCAGTAAAGGCGGGTCACTGTGCCAGGGGGTCCACAGGCGTCATCTCCCTTAAGGTTAACTCCACTTTGCAGTTGAGGAAAGTGAGGCGCACAGGGAGGTTAAGGACCCTCTTCGTTACTCCGCAGCCAAGAAGCAGATCTGGCATTTGAAGCCCCCCTGTTAGCTCTGAAACCTGGGTGCTGGACCTCCAAGCCGGATTGCCCGCGTGGAGCCGGGGCCTGGAAAACAGCCCGGGCCGCTCAACTCCAGCGGCCGCGGGCTCAATGAACGCGGCGAGAGGTGGCTGGGCCAGGCTTTTGAAGCCAAGCGCCCTGGAACTGAACCCCCGACGGCGACGGCGTGGTCAACGCAGAAGGGAGGCAGCGCCCGCGGACCCTCTGGGATTCACAGCAAGGAACTGGATGGGTGAGCAGGAGCCAATTTGAAACATGCTTTCCTTTTTTTTTTTGGAGAAAAAAAGAAAGCCACCCTCATCAAGGAAAAATAAAAGCCAAACTCTCCTCCCTTTTTCTGTTTTTTTTTTTTTTTTTTTTGATGTTGTTGTTGTTGCTCGATTCTCTAAAGGGGGGCTTCCCACCGGGTGAGTCGGAGCTGCGCGGGAACGGGAAGGGCTGAGGGTGAGAGATTTTGGGGAAAGGGAGAGAGAGAAGGGGGCCTCCGCACCGGCCAGCTGGGAGAGAAGCAAACCCCGCGGGCCGCCCCCGCCACGCGGGACCCGCAGAGTCCCCGCGGCCCGCTGCTTTGTAATTTACAAGAGGGACTCGGAACTGCACTTTGTAATTTGGTGTCGGTTTACAAGCCTCACCTGACAGGTCCTCAGTCACGGCCTAACCCCTTCTAGGAGAGGGACAGGAGACGGGAGCTGGATACTCTGCGCCCTCGCCTTTCAATCCAGCTGGCGAGGCACGCGGCGCCGCCTCCGGAATTAACGAACGTTTATTGAGCTCCTACTATGTGAAGACTCTCTATCTTCATTATCACTGAGTCTTAACAAGGTCCGGGCCAAGGAAGGCCACCCTTCCCATTTTGCAGATGAGGCAACTGAGGCACAGAAAAATAACTGACCAAGGTCACGTAGTCAGCGGAACAACCAGCCTGGAGCCCAGGCTCTCTGCCTCCTGTTGCCTCTGAATATTTAATTTACTAACCAGTTTGTGCAACCTTAGATTCCTTTTTTTTATTTTCCCAGAAAAATGCAGATAATTTAGCATTTAATATTGGAGTTCCTGAGATTTCTTGAAGCTCATCCCATGATAAAAACCTCCTGTCCCCCACCGCCTTCCTCACCTCTCAGAAATTGGTGGGATCGAGAGTCTCTGGGGGCATCCAGGGCCGGGGAATGGAGTGTAATTCAACTGGATCACGATTACAGCTGCAGCCTCCAAGTAGGCAGATGCGGTGCAGGGAGGGTAGGACAGGCGGCGGGAAGGCAGGGCACGTGGAGATAGGCAGGGAAGTCTGGAGAAAGCAGTGGGGCTGTGGTGTAGGTTTTTGCTGGGGACTGGGGGGTGGGCAGAGTGCCGCGGAGGGAAAGGTCCTGGGCCCACCCACTCGGAACCGGGGGCCCAGTCCCTCCAGGCAGCATGCGGGCGCCGCTTTCTCCACATCTGGCCAAACGCTGCTCCAGAAGAAGGCCGGCCGGGCTCTGACCCACGTTCTGAGGGCCCTGCTGCCAGAAGCCGGCTCCACCGTCCTGATGTGCTCCCCTCTACCCCGCCCATCCCCTATCTTCTGTCCTGGCTTCAGCCCTCGGGGTTTACTGTACACAAATCCTACTTGTTTCCTCCTTATACAGCAGCTTGTACAACTCGAACAAATTCCAGGGCTGCCCGTCTGGGTTTATTTACTGTTTTGGAAACAGCCGCTCACGTCCCTTTTCCCTCCTGTTCCCTTCCGGTCTCCCTTGCCCCCCCAGTCTAGTTATCCCAAATTAGCAAACCTACTCTCTTGATTTTGTTTTTTAATATCCAGAATAACTGGTGAAGGGCTAATGATTTCGTGTGTCGTACCTCCCCACCCCCACCGCGATAAATAAAATAAAAGCCCAGCCTGCCAACCGCACGCACACAGCCCGCGGTGGTGAGAGTTTGTAAATTGCTTGCGCGCCCTGGATCCTGTTTGCAAAGGCGGAAAAATAGCTAGCAGGGGGAGACGCAGAAAAACCCAGAATGAGTTGATAAAAACCTGCCGTGTCCTGTTACAGGAGGGCTGCTCTGTAAGACCAGGTACTAAAATTAGATCGGGTGAGGGGAATAAGATAAAAAACGCCAACCCATTATGAGTCTTTTTGGCTGGGAGTGAAGGGCTCCGTTAAGTTGCTGAAACTTCAGAGCAGCGGCCGACCTAGGACCAGGGTGCTCACTGTGTGACCCAGGGCTCCTCTCTGAACCTCAGTTTCATCACTGGAAAAATGGGGAAGATACATTTCTGCTTCCGTTTCTATCCTATTGGAAGCTTTTCCCGGAAAAATATCCTGCTGAAATGCTGAGTCTTTGGTTTTAAGTGGAATTTCCCATTATTAAATAAAAAAGAATAAAATAGGTAGGAGTTTACAGAAAGAAATATTCTAAGGTAGGTGCGCTTTGATGAGAGTATAAGAAACTACTCAAGAAGTGAAACTCACTGGTGTTATTAGGTGGTGCCAAGCGAGAGGCACGAACGGTCTGCGTGACTCTTTGTCCCATGTCTGGGTGCGCACAGCTCTCACGTCACCCTCTGAGACCCAGAGCAACAGAGCAGCCCACAGGAATAAGCAAGACCTCTCTCTGCTTCCTTCATTGGGCATTGCAAGAGGCTCTGGGGAGAAGCACCCGCCCAAAAGGGGAGTCCCAGTGCCTGGTCACCAGAGAAGGAGTTTCCAACATTGCCAACAGTTTTAGAATACCTGCGCATCCAGCCGATCACATTAGCTACACAGTAAATCCTCAGCTGCCTTTTCCCGCCTTTCGGAGGTTGGTTAACTTCTAACTTTGCTGACCGGCTCCAAGAAAAGTAACCATGGAATCATGTTTAGTAATTTCCTTCCTTTAACAAATGTTTACTGAGGACCTACTATGTGTTCCGTGCAGTGGCACTCAGTTTCCTAATGTCTCCTAAGCCGATCCTGAGAGGCACTGATTATTTAAAGGTTAACTAGAAATGCATCTAAGTGATTTTAAATTTAGCCCAAGAAGTAGAATGCAGCATTGAGTTAGGGGACTAATTCCTGCTTTCAATATTTTGGAAATTTAACTGTTTATTAAACATTTATGTGAGGATTTTTGAGGGAGACAGTAGGAAGTCTTTTTTCTTTATACTTTCATGCACAGAAAATAGTCGTCTTTTTTTAAAAAAGCTTCGTTTAAAAACATGCTTAGAGTGAATATATTGTACCTAAATCTCTTAATGGCATGTATTTCCGCTCTCCCCCAAATCAACTGTAATAGTAATTGACATAGCAGAAAAATGTAAGTGACATAGGTAATTTGGTGACCTGCTTGCCTCATGGGGCATGGTGAAGGTTAACGAAGAACCACTTGGCGCTTTGAGGATGAGCGGCACTAGCCACAAATATATCTACAGGTCATTTGTCTGCTGCGGTGGTGCAAAGTAACTATTTAGTTTTGCAGGAGAAAGTAGGCTGCCGCTGTGCATCCGATTAGAGAGGCCTCATTTCAGCGCCCACGTCTGGGTCAATGATTGAGTCGCAGAAATACTGGTGATACTGATAAGGTAGAGACCAATACTAGCTTTTCTGAACTCTGCCTTGTCGTCTATTACCTTCTCTTGGGGACAATGCGATTCGTAAGAGTGTGTCTCTGCTTGTTTCCTAGTCCACGAGATAAATGGCGACTTCACCGCCGCAGGCGACCTCACACTTCGGGTTTAGCGTCTCGACAGAAGACCCGGTTGCACCGAAGGCCGCGCGGGTGGATTCTGGCAGAGCTCGGTGGGGAGGAGCGCGGCTTCCCGGAGGAGGCGGAGAGCGCCGGGCCGGCGCGCCTCGGCCAATCAGCGTGCACACCGCCTGACAACTGGCCAATCAGCGCGCGCGGAGCTCGGGAGCCCGAGCGGATAATACTAGGAAAGGGAGCCGAGGCCGGCGACTGCGGAGAGGGGCGCTGCGTCGCGCGCAGTTGCGTGCGCCCGCCGGCCCGGGAGGCAGGGATCTGAACCAGGCCGGGGCGGCCCGATCCTTCCCGCCCAGCCTGGATCAGAGGAAGCCGAAAGCAGCCTCAACGAGGTGAAGCGCCCGGGGCTGCCGAGGACTGATTAGAACTTTGCGGAGTCTGGGATGTGCGGGACGAGGCCGCTGAGGACTTGACTCACCTTCTCCATCCCCTTTCTTCTTACTCCCCATCCAGTGGTCTCCGGGCCTCCAGCTGTCAGCCCGGATTTCGTGGCAGGGTGTGGCGGCGCCGATTTCTGTTTGCCAGCACAGCCGGCAGCCCAAGAGCCAGGTCCCAAGGCTGGATATTTTTTGCCTCGGCTGGTAGCGCTGGTCTCAGAGTCTTGGTGAGTGCTATGATGTTGCTCAGGGAGTCAGGGAGGGCAAAGGGGGTGAATCACCTTTCCTTATCTTTTTATTTTATTTGGCTGTCTTGCCTTAAAGTGCAAACCGTGCAAGATGCACCTAGAGCCCGCTCGGGTCAGCCCTGCGAGGCCCGGGCACGGTTGATGCTGGAAGGGCATCTGCAGCTCTGTGCCCAGTGTCCTGTGCGGTCCTAATGACAGCAGAACAACTTTGGTTTTTCGTTGGTGGTGGTTGTGATGGGGATGAGAGGACCTCTCCAAGCCCGAGGAGGGGTCCTTTTGCTGGCGTACGCGGATGAGAGACGTTTGGGCGGCTAGGGTGGTACTTCTCTGGGTTCGAAGGGCCCCTTCTGATCAAAAAGAAAATAATTCTTCCATCGACATTTTTATATTCATCACTGCCATACCAGTTGGGCACGGGGAAACCTGACAAGTGGCCTAGGTCGGCCTAGTTAGGCACAATGTTTTCGTGTGTGTGACCGGTATATTACCAAGGGACTTGTCCTGAAAGCGTGGTATATAGAGAGCTGCGGTTAAAGGTCAGGTGGTCACAGAGCACTTAGAATTAATAGATAAAAACTTTGTTGGGCTGGGAATCCCTGGGGGCCCTAAAGATACAAGAAAGGCACGTGTGGCCTGGATTTGAGGGACATGGAGAGAATAGGGCTCCCCAAGGGGCCCGGCGGTCCAGGAACTCTGGGCCCGAGGCCTGGGGACCGTGCCTGACAGCGGCCGGTGGGTCTTTGGGTCTTTTCGTGTCTCCCCCGAGTGCAGGCGACTGAGCGTGGGCCCGAGCGAGGCGCCGCGCGCCATGGCTGAGTGTCAGGCGGGCCCGGCGGCCGGGGACTGGGAGATCGACGTGGAGAGCCTGGAGCTGGAGGAGGACGGCCGCGGGGCGCCGCTGCCCACGCCGCCCGGGCCCAGCCCGCCGCCGGCCGACGAGGACGACGAGGACGAGGACGAGGACGACGCGGAGGACGACGGCGACGGCGAGGACGCGGGCGCGTGCCCAGGGGTGCCGGGCCGGCCGGAGCAGCGAGGGGGCCCGCCGCCGAGGCCGCCCCCCGTGCCGCAGGCCTCGCCGCCCCGGGCCGGGCCCCCGGAGCGCTGCGCGAGCGCGGGCGGCAGCGCGGAGCCGCGCAAGCTGAGCCGCACGCCCAAGTGCGCGCGATGCCGCAACCACGGCGTCGTGTCCTGCCTCAAGGGCCACAAGCGCTTCTGCCGCTGGCGCGACTGCCAGTGCGCCAACTGCCTGCTGGTGGTGGAGCGGCAGCGCGTCATGGCCGCCCAGGTGGCGCTCCGGAGGCAGCAGGCCACCGAGGTGCGTACACGCCGGGCCCCGAGGCGTCGGGGACCACAATGGGGGTCGAGGAGCCGGAGGGGACGTGGCTGCTCCCCACACCCCCGGCCCAGGGCCCTTCGGCGCCGCCTGGCGTTTCCTCGCAAGGATGGTCAGGACACTTCCCTCCCCGCGCTGGCCTGCGGGGCCGGGAGGGAGGCAGGCGTGGGCAGCGCTGGGGAACTTGGCAGACAACGTTTTGTATTGAAAAGCTGTCAGAGAGGCCTTGAAAGTGGTTAGGCCCGTCGGGACATTATGGGAAAGGGTTTTTCTTTTTCTTTCTTATACTGTAAAGTTTATTTTGGTGGCGGCGGGGTGGAGGCGGCGTTTGGTGCCAGGCACCGCGTCCCTCGTGATGCTCAGCACTGTACTGTTGCGCCGATCGCGACAAAGAACCAGGCAGCATCCAGCGCACACAGTGCTGCCGCTGTCACGGCCATTGAAGATGGGAGGACGTGTGCCCATTTTACAGATGAGACCGAAAGTGGCGAGGAGATTAGGTGCTAAGGTCTTGCAGTCAGAAGCTTTTGGCCCCAAGAACTTCTTAAGAGCCGGTGGAGGGGTCTCTGCCGTCTCCCTCCGCGGGGCTCCAGCTGGGAGGAGAGCCAGGGGTTTTTTCAAGGGGAGAGGCTCCGGGAACCTCGGCCTTTTGGTTTCCGTGTGTCCCTGTGCATGGAGAGCTCAGAGCAAGGGAGGCTTCTCCGGCGGCTTCCCAGCCTCAGGGCGCGGGAGGATTTCTGACTTTACCTTCTGGCGAGGAGGGCCCAGGAAGTGGGTCATCATACACGCCGGAGGCAGTGACCCTAATGGAATGTCTTCCAAGGAAGGACCCGGGAGAGCGCGCTGGGTGCCCGAGGTGGCCCTGGCCCTGGGCGCGGCCTCCTCCCGCGTCTGCCCGGCGTGTTTCACCGCGGGCCTGAGTTTCCTTGCGCTCCCCGCGGCCTGCTCGGCTGGACGCTGGGGTGGAAGGGCCCGGACTCCCACCGACCAGGCGGTGACTGCGGGAGTGAGGGCTGGGGTCCCTTGTCCTGAATCCCAGGCGGCCTCCAAGAGCTCCATGAGCCTTCATGCACTTCAGTCGCTCAGTGAACACGGCGGAGTTTTGGGCCAGACCTAGGAGAGTCCTGAGAGAGAGAACTCCTTTATCTCCCTCAGTGCCCTGCGCCTCCTCCCAGCCGCCCTACTGCGGGGAGAAACCAGCTCACCATCACTGACCGATGGCAGGCCCTGGGCACCTTCCGCCTCACATCTGGGTTCCGAGAACAGAGCGCAGTGGTTGGCGCAGCTGTCGTTCAGGGCCACCCTCCTACCGTCTCCTCCACTGTGGATTTCACCTTCCTCCGGGATGTCCCCCCACTTCTGGCTGCGGGCGAGTCTGGGGTGACTCTAGCAAGGCGGCCCCAGGGGGAGCCGGGGACCCTGCTCACCAGGTGGCGACTTATGGCAGAGCTTCTAGCTCGTTGCCCTGGATTTAAGGGGTGCTGTTATGAAATCGTTTTGAATCATTTTCACATGGTCTAGGAAAAGACATACATTTAGACCGGGGAGAGTTGCTGACGTCCTCTCCTTCTCGCTTCTTTCCCATGTTTTCTTTCAGGGCATTATTGATTCTGTTTCTTGTGTTTACAGGACAAGAAGGGACTTTCCGGGAAACAGAATAATTTCGAGCGCAAAGCCGTGTATCAGAGGCAAGTCAGGGCACCCAGTTTGCTGGCCAAAAGCATTTTAGAAGGTAAAACTAAGCAAAATTATCTTTGAGTCTTTAAACCGAGTTCCGATTGATTCTCATCATTCATGCACATGGCGTTTGATTAACCTTCGACAGAGCAATCTGAGGGGAAGGTGCCTTTTATTAGAAAGTTTTTCTCTAGGAAGGAAATCAGGACTCGGGAAAATGAATGTCACATACCTCCTGAGGTTTTTGTCACTGATAATTTTGTTGTCTGCTTAAGAGTTAATGGGGTAGCATGGAATGCATATGAAATTTGCCTTGGTGTGAGGGATGTATAAGATACACTGCCAAGTGATTCCGGAGCAGATGTCCTGGAAGGAAAGAAAGAAAAAAATAGCTCTAGTTGTAGTTGGAGCTAAATAGAATAAGTCAAGTGAGGAATTTAATAGATACCCACACCGATAAAGACCTCTAGTCTGTGCCATCCAACCTCTAAGCCCATTCTTTTTCTTTGCACAACTTTCCTCTCTGGATTATCTACATAATTGTAGTTATTCCACACTTCATTTTACTATTTTTGACAGTCGAGATGGTAGAATCTGAGAAAGGTTTTGAGTCAAACAAGAGAAGTGGAGTTTGAATTTGAACAGTGTGAATTTTCTAACTCTCCATGTTTTCGATTTTTCTAAAGCCTGGGGATACATGAATATTTCTTAAAAAATTGTCTTGATCTGTGTAATAATTGGATTTAATTCGGTTATGCATTTCAACTTTAAATGAAACTGTTGTTAGTTTATTGCAGGTTAATTTCACACTGAAGTTTATAAATGAAATAATGTATTTTTTTGTAGTGATAGTGTTTGAGAAGATAGTTGTTTTTTTTTTAAGGAAGAAGTAGTTACATTTGAATTTCATAACAGTTAATATGTTGAGACCATCTGTAAATAGGAGACCCTGGCTTTCAGAGTCTGATTCGTAAAAGCATCTCTGTTCAGTTATGGAATTTATTTATTGACCTGATAAATGATATGTTGACTACTTTTCACCGTTTAAAGAAAAGGAAAGTTTATATTTGTTCTAATCACTACCACTTCATAAAATTCGGGTTGACATGCAGATTAAAAAAAAAAAAAGCAGACATTTGAGTTCTTTTTTTTCTTGTGTGGCTACTGAATTGGGTTGGTTCTGGACAGGTTTTAAAAGTTTGTTCATGTCTTACCCTGTGCTTTGTACTTCTGACCTTAGAATGTTTCCTCATGAATTAAAAATGAATTTGGTTACAAACTGGGTAAATAGATTTATAACCATAGGAACCACACTGATAAACTGAAATTGTGCCAAAGCAATTCGAGAAGTGGGAAGACTAAATGGAATAGTAAATTCAAGTAAATAACTTCCTGGCAGAAACTGACCGTAGAGCTAGAAACATTAATTTTCAAATTTTATTTTATTTGCAAATGAGTACGATGGGTTTGTCACTATGTAAACACAAACATTACAATGGAGACTTTAAACAAATTTGATAGTGGTGAGTGTTCCGGGATGATGAAACACTCAAAGTATTTTATTCCGCCAGGAATTCTATTTATGTCACACTGATCTTTGCTTTTGACTTTGTTCCTGTTCATAAAATATGTGATGACTTAATCTATGTTCTAATGAGTGCTTGTTCAACCTTTTTGGTATCTGGCCAACATGATTAGGGCTTGGAAAAATGTTTTAGACCAGTTCTTTTCAATATAGCAGGGGATCGCCCCTCTCTCCTTTTGTTTGTTTGTTTGTACTGGTTTTCAGGGGTAGGGGCCTGGTTAAATTGTTCACTGCACAATCTGTTTGACTGGTTAACAGCTCTTTTCAATTTTCTATGCTTCTCTGTTTCCGTCAGTCTTTCCTCTTTTTCTCCTCACTAATCTGCTTTAACTTTCTCTTTTTTCCTAGTTCTCCTCGGATTATCCTACCACTGTAACAATGTGTACATAATGAACCATCTTTAGAAAATAAAAGTGACATCAGCTCTAGGTATAGATATCTTTTTTAATAATGGAAAAGATGACCTGGGTAGTAATAAAGCATTGACTGAAGCAAGATGAGCAGGCTTGTTTCTTAATATATAGGAGCCTGGGAAGAACATTAACATTTCAGCCAGTAGAGGATGGCTGTCAAAGTAAAGAAACAGACCTATAATGACAAAAACAACAATAACAAAAAGTTACAATATGGATATCCTTCCCCCCAAAGGGAACTATTTTAAATCGAACCTAAACTTTTGCTTTCTGTGTGAAAATATTAGTGATATAGAACTGTAAATAATTGTTGTGCTGATTTGTAGTGTTTCTGTTGCCTCCTGGATTTCCAGGTTTTTCTTCCCTGGATGTTAATCTCTTTCGTGTGCAATGCTTGCTTGTTTTAGGCTACCGCCCCATTCCCACAGAGACTTATGTGGGAGGGAGCTTGCCTCTCCCTCCCCCGGTAAGTGACCGGATGAGAAAAAGGCGGGCCTTTGCTGATAAAGAGTTGGAGAACATTATGCTGGAGAGAGAATATAAAGAGAGGGAGATGTTGGAAGCTTCCCAAGCTGCTGCCTTGTTCCTGCCCAACCGCATGGTGCATGGACCTGAATACAACTCCTACAAAAGTGCCTACAGCCCCACCCCGGGGGAGCCGCCAAGCAAAGACTTCTGCAATTTTTTGCCCACCTGCCTTGATCTAACCATGCAGTATTCAGGGTCTGGGAATATGGAACTGATTTCTTCCAATGTCAGTGTGGCTGCCACTTACAGACAATATCCCTTGTCCTCGAGATTTTTAGTTTGGCCCAAGTGTGGCTCCATTAGCGACACCCTCCTCTACCAGCAGTGCCTGCTAAATGCCACCACCTCAGTTCAAGCTCTGAAACCTGGGGCCAGCTGGGACCTGAAGGGAGTGCGAATCCAGGATGGACTCAGTGTGGAACACGACGTGATGCCACCAAAATTGGAAGGCTCTCTGGTGCTGCCTCACCCTTTGGAGGTCCAGACCTCAAGAAATGAGCTTCAGGGACACCAGGCCGTCCCTGAGAGGTCTGCCTTCTCCCCACCCCGACGGAATTTCTCTCCCATTGTTGACACGGACTCCCTGGCAGCTCAAGGGCACGTCTTAACCAAGATCAGCAAAGAAAGCACCAGCCACCCTCTGCCACTTAAACATAATCCATTCCACTCACTATTCCAGCAGACTGTTAATGACAAATCAGGTCCTGAGTTGAAAACACCATTTGTCAAAGAGGCCTTTGAAGCGGCCCCTAAGAAACACAGAGAGCGTTTAGTCAAGGAGAACCAGAAGTACACATTTACAATAGATAGATGCGCAAAAGATCTTTTCGTAGCCAAACAAGTTGGAACAAAACTCTCTGTGAATGAACCACTGTCGTTTTCTGTTGAGTCTATTCTTAAGAGGCCTTCGTCTGCCATCACTCACGTCTCTCAGTGAAAGGCAGCTTAAACAGAAAGCTGGATTTTCTGCAGTCTCAGACGGTTCTTACCAGTTGCTAATTTTTTTTTTTAAGAAAAAAGATGTTTGTAAAAGAAATTTCTAATGTGTATGATGATGATTTAAAAAATTCTATATATTCATATGCATGTTCTTTTTCTCGCCGCGTAAATATATTTAAACTTAAAGATGGAAATTACTTACGTGCAAATTGGAAAGTTCCACGCTTTACACAGCATTTCAAAAAGCAATAAAATTGACACTGTCTTCTAAAAGACCCAGTATTTGCTGAAGTAAATAGTTGGTTCTTTCTAGATGAAAAAGCTAGTGTCTATGAAATGTGTTCTTTATTTTTCTATGATTCTGTGTATTTTCAGTTGCTCCTCGTGGTCTCTGGGGTCTACAGGAGAACCCTGATAAAGCCTTAGTTTTGCATTTTGGAAGGCATGTAAATTTAGCTATTTAGGACTGAGGCAAAAATAGCTTTAAGGAGAGCACAGGGCAGAATTGTATGTTTATAGAATCTTAATTTCATGAGATTGGACAAAGTTGAATTAATTTGAAGAGAAATCAAGTTTAAGATCTCGTTTGTCTGATGACAAGGGTTCTTGGAGTGGATCTCTTCACCCTCTGGGTCCAAGTCTCGTTCCCTGGTGGGGATGTGTATGTGGGGCCTCAAGCTCCCTTTCTAGATTGAACATTCTATGATTTCAGGTTGCCAGGGGCCACAGAGCAGATTCCCTTGGAAAGTGCAGTCATTTCACATCATGGTGGCACGTGGTTGAACCCACTCTCAGCTCTCGTGTTACTTCACCGTTTCCTGGCGGCATTTAGAGGCAGGCCCCATTACAGCTCTCAGCTGGTTCCAGAGGATCAGCTTTACGCCTGCCACGTTTTCACCAGTGTCGAGGTTTTCACTGTAGCTCTCCTTAGATAAAAACATTTACTATTCAAATTGCTTCAGCTGACAGTCGCTGAAGCCTGCAGATGTTTATCACAACATGAGGGTGGCTTCTTGATTCTGAAACCTTTCCTCCTTGTTTTGAAGTTCATTATTACCCTCTTGTTTTGCTCCACAAAACGTTAGCTGTTGTTCTAAATGACTGATAACATGGGAGTCAGACATTTATGAAAGTATTAAATTCATCCCTGAAGACCTCATCTGTGGACCCCGTATCAAGTTCTAAGATGTTATAGTTATTTCAACACAGAAAATCAAGCGCCAAATATGTCACCCTTAATTTTGCCGTGGAGTGAATTTTTACTTCTAACTCTCCTCTCATTGGGTCACAAGAACACCAGGTGGGCATGTGGCCTGGACCCAGAAATTCGGTAGTTTCGAGAGTTTCTTTCTTGCTCTGGAAAATATTGGAAATTGTTTAAAAATGATTTTGCTACTGAGGAGCTCATGTAAACCTCCTGGGGTTCTCTGAATTGTTGCTTAAAATTAGCATCAATTTCAAAAACAACAAGCCAAACCTTAGATTCATTTTCAGTTTGTACTTGTAAAATAATATTTGGCTTTGTTGAGTCAAATTTATTTATTTTTACTGTTGCAAAAGCCAGAGTGAATGGAAGTTTGCCAGAGAGAAAGAAAATGAAAGCGGGCAGGGATCCCAAGAACTGTTGAAAATTATCATTAAGTGGAAAAACGTTTTCCAGCCACAAATGCCCTGGTGTCAGAGACAGACACTAACTGCAGGCTCTCTGTCTCCCCGCCACCCCCCGTCATCTCTGTTTTATCTATACAGTTATTAATTTTTATCTTCCTATCAGGAATTTATTTTCTATGTCAAGTGTTAAGCGTAAACTTGGCATTGAATCTGCTGCAGAGGTAATGAGGGAAACATGTTAGAATAAACCCACAGTAAAAAAAAATTCCCAGATTTTGAGAAGGCATTGTCAATCTAAACATGGATTTTCTCTTTTTCTTACTGTACTTTAGTGTTTTGAATACATCTATTTGTCAATTTTTTCCCTTTTGTGTTCAATGAACATTTTGAGGTGTCTTTTCTGTCCTCTCTATATATCATTTTAATTGATCTATATCAACTTAATCTACATATCAATTTAATTCATTAAGTGAACCCAGTTGGCTGTGGGTATTGATGGTTTTTCTCACACTACCAGTGACCAGAATTTTATTGTTCTTGAACAATTATGAGGGTCAGTACTCCCCTTGGCGAATTTATTACTGTGCTGTGCGTTAGTTCTGCCGTGTTGGTGAGTTCTTGGAATTTCAAACCTACCAAATCTACCATCGGCCACTCAGTGAGAACTTCGTGCTAGGCTCTTTGCTGCTTTAATCATTTCACTTCTATGAAGGCTATTCAACTATATGGTTTTCAGAGGACGCTGTCATCAATATATTAAATCAAACTTGTGCTTCCATTTAAGCATTTGCTATGTTCAAGGCCGTAAATAGATTTGGCTTTTATCATTTTTAGAACGTAAAGAATAGTAAAACGTGAGCTCCAGATGCACTAATGCTGCTTTAATGACATATTTTTCTTCCATCTCAACTGATCAAATGTTCTTATTTTTTGCTCCGTTTGCAGTTCTGAATAGTTTGTGGCAGTGCTTCTCAATCTTTAATGGACAATGAATCCCCCGAGAATCTTGATAAATGAAAATTCTGATTCAGTGGGTCTGAGGTGGGCTTGAGATTCTGGATTTCTAACAAACTCCCAGGGGGTGCTGATGCTGCTGGTCTTTAGACCACACTTGGAGCAAAAGTTTACAACATTTCTATCATTTTGATAGTCTTCTGTGGATTTTGGGTCCTCATGCAATAGAGTTATCATGAATAATTTAATATACATGAATAATTTAAAAAACATTTTCCTCCAAACCCATAGGCTGTACAACACCAAGAGTGAACCATAATGTAAACTATGGACTTTGAATGATTATGATATGTGAATGAACGTTCATCAGTTGTAACAAATGCACCACTCTCATGGGGGATGTTAATAATGGGGGAGGATATGCATGTGTTGGGGTAGGAGGAAATGAGAAATATCTGTATCTTCCCCTCACTTTTGCCATGAACCTAAAACTATTCCAAAAAAATAAAATCAGTTTAAAAAATTCCCTTTCTTATTTTAACCTCTGGTGGCCCAAGTAGGACAAGACCTAGGCAAAGTCATGAAGTAGACGAGTTGCTTCCCTTCTCTTTTTTTTTTCTTTCAAGTTTAGAAGTTCTTTTAATTTGGTTAGAAAATGTATTTTTTTAATTGTAAAATACACATAAAATTTACTGTTGTAACAATTTTTAAGTGTGCAGTTCAGTGATATAAAGTACATTCACATTGTTGTGCAACCATCACCACCATCCATCTCCATCCAAGATGTTTTCATCTTGCAAAATGGAAACTCTGTACCCATTGCACAATAACTCCCTGCTCCCTGCAGCCTCTGGCAACCATCATTTTACTTTCTATCTCTAAGAATTTGACTACTCTAGGTACCTCATTATAAGTGGAAACATACTGTATTTGTCCTTTTGTGACTGACATTTCACTTTGCATAATGTCCTCAAGGTTCATTCATGTTGTAGCGTGTGTCTGAATTTTCTTTCTTTTTAAGGTTGAGTAATAGTCCGTTGTATGCATAGAGCACATTTTGTTTATCCATTCATCTGTTGATGGATGCTTGGATTGCTTCCACCTTTAGGCTACTGTGAAAAATGCTGCTGTGGACTTGGCTATACAAATATCTTTTCACCCAGTCCTCACTTCCTGATTTTGCCTTCTTCCCATCTTCAGGAACTCAGTTTTCTTAAGTATATATCCCTCCCACACTCTCCTCTCTCCCTGCTTGTGGATCATTTCCACTCCTCACCAAGGTAACAGCACTCTGCTCCAACATCAGTTGTGCACCCTTTAATGTGAGTTTAAGTGAGTGTATTATCACATCATTTGCATGTAAAAGCTTAATTCTAATTGTGGAGTGAATGACTTGTATTAACTTGTACAAAGAAACTTTCTGGAATTCCTTCTGCAAAGTCTGAGCAATGCTAAAGAGCAAGGAAATGGCTGCAGGTCAAGATGAAGAAAGAAGGAGGATCCACAATTCCCTGTGGAGTGATAAAGGCATCACTTAGTGTCGAGGCTGAGTTTTCAAATGGGACTAGAATTCTTGCTGGCTCACCTGATTTTACTTATTTGTGGATTAATTTTGTTCCTGTTCTAGGTCTGTAAACTCAGGCTTCTTTCCTTCTAGGGTCCAAATTGTAGGGCTGATAGTTCTTGAGATAGCTGGATCCTGCATTATATACATTTTAGTCTGTGGCATCTACTTATATTTATTTTAGTGATTGTATTAAGCTTTTACCATACTTCACCTACCTTACTTATTTTGGTTTTTAACTTGTATTATCTAAACACATTTAGAGCATGCTGGACAAAGACACCTGGAAATAGATTGGCATCTAGTGTGATGCTAAGTGTGTCATAATAATAATTAACATGTGTTTAATGCCTGCTGATTTACAGAGCACACTCACATTTATTATCTCTTTTGTTTCTCATATGCCTTCTATATAAAATTGGCAAGTGGCCATATCAAAGTTGAATCCCCATCTCTGTGTGTGTACACAAATTTGAGGATTTTTTTTTCCAATTTACAACATGACTTGATATGGCCTAATCTCTCTCTCAGATTTTGTATGTAAATGTTAAGTGTATCAAATGCTTATGTATGATGCATATGATGCATTATATATGTATAATGTTACCTGTATGACTACATATATCTCTATGTAGAAACATTTGCATATCTGTCCCAACGTCATAAAGTCACACACACACGTGCACATACACACAGAATCTCCTTTAGTTGTGAAAACAATGGAGATAAACAAGGAGAAAGAGAACCTCCTGGGGAAGCACAGTTGGCTGACAGCCCCAGCTGTCACACCTTTGGATCCACTGTGATGTTCAGGCCAAGGCCACGCTTTCCCTGGGCTGCTTCCAGCCAATGACTGAGTACAGCAGGGTTGCTAGAGTAGAACCATTTCTGCCCCAAAATAGGACTCTTCTAACAGGCATCCTTGGCTGGGATTACTGTTACTGAGATTACTGGCATAACTGTTTTGTTATGGATATTTGAGGAACCTAAAAACTAGCACTTCTGTTCCATGCCTTGGGTTCTGAGCCAACCAAGAAATAAGACAAAGGAATTGGCATTTGGGGATTAGGATATCCTTATCTACCTTTGTTACTGATTATGATGATATTGGAGAAAGACTTACATCCAGGAACAAGGAGACTTCTGGGATTATCTCTAAAACTAACCCCCAGAATTGGTCTATAATACTAACCCCCAGAATTAAACAGACTTACCCACATAGGAGTAGTCAGCACTGGCCCACCACACCTCCCCTGCACACAGACAGTGACTGAGTGTCTCTATTCTCTGCCTGTGGGTTGACTCTGAAAGGAAGGGGAGAGGAATAGGCAGAGCTATCCATGCCCCTTTGCCTATCCCAACTCACCAATCAAGTAAGTTACTCTCCCTCTACCCTTTGGTTTCATATATGTTTTGTTATTATTATCTTTGTTTTGAATTGAGATCGATCCAAAGACCACGAACCCTTGGATTTGATGACGACAATCAGTGTTTAAGTCATTGCTGAAGATACAAGCTAGGGGATGGGGAATGCTGTGATTCCCTCATAGGTGCTAACTAGATGGAAGAATATGTGTACTTTTTTTGAGAACAAAAAAGAAAACTGGAGAAATGACTTCATTTACCCTAGGACATTCAGTATAACATGCTGACAAGCGCTGAAGTATCATTTCACTGATGAATACATCATTTCATGTTATTAAGTAGCACGGCCCAAGGGGATTCTGCTTCTATCAGTCAGTCATGACCAAATTGTTTCATGGAGTAGCATCATAAAAAGTTATCATGGGAAGGTACCTGAGATGTTGTGAAGCTATCAAGCCAAATTAATATCATTTCCTCTTTTGGCAGGGAATGCCAAAGACAAGATGTCTCAATTCAGCAAGAAATTTAACAGTCTTTCATGAGAGGGAACTTTAGGATGGAAAACAGTGAAGTGAGGTGGTAGCTGTTTGTGGCTGTTTGTATCCATTTGAACAGCTACTTTAAAAAGGCATTGACTAATACATAAATCAATGCCAGTTTTGAGGAATGTTTTTGTTCTTGTGGTTCATGGGTCCTCTTGTTTTGTACTGTATCCTGACCAGCAAATGAAGACATAAAAGGTGTGTTACTGATTTGTGGATGACAAGTTGAGAGGTCTGACCACCATTGTTGATAGCACAATTAGGCTTATACTGGGACTATACATCAAAGGAAAAATCTTACATTTGGATTTTGAAAATAACTGTCATCCAGTTATGAAACTATATGTTGAGGGAGATTTGACTTGACAACAGTTTGTGTGAAAACGATCTGAGAGTCATAGAGGATTAGGAGGCTCAAAAAGAACCAAGAATGAGTCATAGTCAAAAGAAATTGCTAATGCAAACTTGGATTCCATTAATAGAGTCTCCAGATCAAGGGGAATGCTAACTACAGTGTCCTCCCTTGACCACTTAAATCGCATCTGGGAATTGATGTCCAATTCTAGGCGTTGCATTTTTTTTTTTTTTTAACAATCTAGTTGCTTATTTTTTTTTTTTTTTAAGATTTTATTATTTCCTTTTTCTCCCCAAAGCCCCCCGGTACATAGTTGTATATTCTTCGTTGTGGGTTCTTCTAGTTGTGGCATGTGGGACGCTGCCTCAGCGTGGTCTGATGAGCAGTGCCATGTCTGCGCCCAGGATTCGAACCAACGAAACACTGGGCTGCCTGCAGCAGAGCGTGCGAACTTAACCACTCGGCCACGGGGCCAGCCCCTAGGCGTTGCATTTTTAATGGGGACATTGATGGACTTGGTTCCATAGGAGGAATGGAACCAAGGATGAGGATGGTGAAGCGTCTTCAAATCTTACCTAACTGTAGACAATTAAGAGCACTGGGGATGATGACCTGGAGAAGAAATATCTTGAGGGAAAAGGGCTTGATTTATGTCTTCATATATTTGAAATGTCATTTCAAAGAAGGAATTAAGGTCCCTTGGAAGTCTCTAGAAGAAACAATCATGGCTAAGAAGAGAATGTTAACAGGGGGTGAGATACAGCTCAATAAAAGGGAGAGCATCTTTCAGTTTGGGTTGTCCATAAATGGATTGGTCTGCCTTGTGAACAAAGGCATTTGGAGATCTTCATGTGGAACATAGAAAGAAATCTTGCATTAGACATGAGATTGAATTAGTAAGCAGAGATTCTGCTTCATTTATCTTTGCATCCCAGATCCTAGCACACAACTGCATCAAGAAATGCTAGCTGAATGAAGAGAATATCTTTCAACTCCAATAATTCCTGATTTTATGACAAATTACTTGTGGGAAGGATTAGATGAAGTGTTTTTTCCCTCCCAGTCACACTCTTTAGAAAATCACACCACCAATTTATTATTTTAGTTGAACAGATGGCACAAAGAAACAACTCACTTAATATTTTAAATCAGACATCACTGTGAATAAGAACATTACACCTTTATTCTGCATAATCCTAATTTGAGTAATGAAATTCTCAAAAATGTATAGATTGGACAAATGCCCTAACTTTTTTGGTTTTTCAGATTGTGATGTTTTCTGAGGCTTGGGGCATGGAAAGTCCTATTATATATAAGCAGTTAGTTTGCTTTTGAATAAAATTAATTTTATATAAATTCTTGGGATTAATTAGATTAAGATTATTGTCTGTATGATAATAAATAATGAATTCCAAAAATGGCTTCTCCTCTATTTTAGCTACCTTAATAGCTGGTCAATTTTGATTGAAAATTGTATTTGTTATGGTTAAAAAAAAAACCCAAACAGATTTAATTGAGGTTGTTGATTTAGATAAAGTCTGAGTCTTTTCAAGCATGGTAAAGTAGAACTTCAGTTCTACTTTCTATTGTTTAGACAAATCCATAAATCTGATTATTTAGACTTGAGTTACCATTTTCATTTAATTCAACAAAAATTTATTAATGACCTGCTGTGCACTGGGCAATATTGAGCTCTGAGAGGTAAAGACAACTAAGATATGGCTTTCAAAAATTGATAATTTGGGGGGGTTAATATAGATT